CGGTATGTTCGGGAGAAAATATCAATGGGTAATCATGGGAACGTACACGGAGGAATGGTGGCTGCGTTCCGGGGGCGGATGCGAGCCCGTTCAGATCGCGCAAGCTCTGCACGGCACTATATTAACCGACCTGCTGCCGATCACGACGGAGAAACGGAAGACTATAGCTGGAATCGTAAGTACTACAGATAGTATGGCAGAATGGAAGTACGACGACGCGAAATACGTTGACGTCTTCGTTGCTCCTTTGCTCAGACAACGGAGCAGTACCAGGTCGAGTACGACTCGAGACGTGGCAAGGAGTATTCGAGATTTCATGGGTACACGTACGACGGTATATGGGCGGTCGCCCTGGCTATACAACGCGTGGCGAGCCGGATAACCCACCACCGTCGCGATCAGACCATATCGGATTTTAGGTACAGGGACGACCTTTGGGAGAGACTTTTCCTCGAGGCTCTTCGGAACACCAGCTTCGAGGGCGTCACGGTTAGTAAAACGACGCGCAATCGTCACGTAGACGTCGCCGTGATTAAAACGGATGCGAGCTCGAGATTTGTAATCAACGTGAGAGCCGAGAGCCGGTTGATTTAAAATTTCTCACGAATCGAAAGCAGCGGAGGGAAGTAGCAATTATTTCGAAAAATATCAGCCTTCAAATTGGCAATCATCCGCGCCGTCTGCTTCGTCCTTTGAGACACTCGTACTCATAAAACGCGTACCCGCGGCTAATGAAATTGAGAAACATTCAGACGAAACCGATGTCGATCGGTTCGGCTTCCGCGAGGCAGCGTAATTGCGAAATTTATGGAAATGGTAATGGAATTTCCTGTAACGACGTTATTTTTCAATATCGTCTCCCTGCCTTGTGAATGCAACTGGTATATATACAAACTTACAACACACCCACAGAGGAAAATGTTCTCTGCCAACTTGGAGAAAAACTTGGATTGAATAATTACAAGTTGTGATAATCATTAGACTATAGATATTTGCATAATTTGTTTCATCCACTAAATAGTCTACTTTGGATATTTTATATAACTCTGTAGATTTTCGCGTCAGATCTTTTAAATTTCTCACCCGTTTTAGAGATATAATTGTTGAATCAGCAAAATAAATGAATAACTTCCGATCTCTAATGAATCTTGAGGCATTTCATTCGTCCATTTTCTTTTGGCAACAAATTACAACAGAACTTTGGAACTTTTTATTTAAGTGAATTTCATCACTAATCTCTATGGAGAATACAAAATACGAAATAAGTTCAAGTTACAAAATATAAATAACATGTAAATATTAGAATACAATTAGAATATAAAATATAAGAAATATACAAAAGAATAAAAATGATATGAATAAAAGATAGAAAAAAAAAAAAAAATTACTATAATAGCGATCATTTCAATGTAACCGTTTGTGGATCAGTCGGAAATTCTCTCAAACTATCTCCATCCGTGTCTGTGTGATTTTCCAGGGCCCGGTACGTTTCTACGGTAACGAAAGGAAAGCGTACATTTTGTTGAAACAATTTCAAAGTGAGTATGAGACGCAACCACGTGGCTAACGATACGAGACTCGTGTGCTTTTTCTTCCATCACAGGTGACAGGGAGGTAAAAGTCGGCGAGTTCAATGGCGTGACCGGTGTGTTAAACCTGACCAAGGGTGAACCCCTGGTCTGGGGAGGAAGATCACCGCCGAAAGATCGAACGCTTCATATCATCGAGCACTCGACCGTAAATATTACGATCTACGCGGTGCTCACGTCCGCCGCTAGCGTGGGTATTACAATGGCGGTCATTTTTCTCGCCATCAATATCAAATACAGAAATCAAAGGTGATTATTCGAGACCCTTAAGGGATCGCTCCCTGGTGTGTGTCTCTTCTCTTTTCTCGCGAATTTCTCATCGCGGCTTCGTTCTACTCGTTTTCTATTTTTCTCTCTTTTTTTTCTTTTTTTTTTTTTTTTTTTGTCTTCTTTTCTTTCTCGACGCGAAGAATCGAGCAAGACGATGCACAGCGAAGCATTTGCGTCAGAAAACCTGATCAAAAATCGGAATTTCTTTCTCTGTTCAAAGTGAATGTGTACCTGTGTGTATGTGTCAATTAATTAATTGTTTTAATTACATTTATATTCTTTTTTGGGGGGGAGGGGTAAAGTCTAAGCTTCAAATTCAAGGAAACAATTTTGTTTTTTTTTTTTTTTTTT